GAGAGAGAGAGAGAGAGAGAGAGAGAGAGAGAGAGAGAGAGAGAGAGAGAGAGAATCAAAGTTAATTTTACACGACTATAATAATTGATAAGGACGTTCTTTCACTCTTACACACGCGCATATATATACTCTCGTTCTCGACATTTTGTTTCGACATTGGTGAAACATTCATCCATTTCCAGTATCTATTTGACAATTTCTAGATATTGTGAAAAATTATATATAAGATATGTAATGACATTTTTTCGCTTCGCTACATTCTTATTTGAAACCTCATAGATATGTGCTTCATTTATCTTTTCTTTGTTGGGCTTGCCCGCATAAAATATAACACAAAGGATTCCGATAATTGATGATTGTAAAAAATGGTACCGCTGTCGAATACAAACAAGTTCGTAATAAATCAAAACTGATGAACGAACAGGAGCGCAGAAATCAATAATTGGAGATTGAAAACGCGTCTTGTATAATTAGCTGAAGTTTCTAATAAAACTATTAGCGAAAATCCTGCAACAATTCCGTTTCGCAAAGTTTTAGCTTTCTCTCTTCTGTGCTCGTTGTCGGTGTGATTAATCCGTCAGTAATCCGTCTATACGAATCAATCGAAACAATTAAGTACATTCTTTGCAAAGAGAACTTACTTACTTTTGATCAAAAACACAGAAGACGTAACATCATGTATAGGAAATATTGTAGCTGTAATATAATCTCGTTGTGGAAAAAAGGAAAGGTAATAATAAATGAATTACTAAAGAAAGAAAAGAAAAAGAGACGAAAAAAAGAAAATTCTATACAGATTCTTTTCTCAAATTAAATAATCCCGACTTATTCGCGCATTCCTTTCATTCAGTCATCGTATACAAGGATAGCGCGATCGATATTGCGTTGCTTACTTTATTGATATACTTGATATACTTTCACTAATATATAACCTTGCAACAGTGCACTATCGTTCGGCGCTAACGCGGGCGCATCTATCGTATTACAGGTTGAAACGGTAGTCGTAGTAGCAGTGCTTGGATTGTAACGAGTGTGTCGTAACAATGTCACGAAAAATCATTTGTCATATATACGTGCGTGCGTGCTTCGGCACAAATATTAAATCTGAGTTATAGCAATAATGTTGGATAATGTATTGATTCAATCTTTTGGCTTTAACAATCGATGTCTCAACAGCTTTCGCAAGTACTTTGCTTCGTCAAATCATGATATGATTTATTTTCGCCACCGCCATTGCTGTTGCAATTCATATAAAAACATGAAACAGGGAATAGAATAGAGATTTTCCGAATAAACGATTCAATTCGATCACACGGAATTTGCATGCACCCACTTGACATAAGGGTCTCGATGGCGATTCAAATAAAAATTGTCAGTATAATTGTGTGGTCGTGCATGCGCGCGCGACCACACAACAGAACGATTTGTGCTGGTCCAAGCAGCTCGTGTGTAATGCGAAAAGTAATTCGACTTTCGTCACTTTGTTTCTTCCGTCACTTCGTCAATCGGCAAACTAGCCGCTATTTCGATCAGTTTCATTTTTGTCGACGACTGACCGCTCTCTACTTGCCAGCTGGCAACGGGCCCGCTTCTACTCTTTTCCTCCACGTGCAACGCCGCAATTCGAGCGGACACGAAAGGCGGAAGGAGACATTTATTTTCGTGCAAATGTGTTTGTTTTCGGTCCGTGCTAAAGGCCTCGCATTTTTACATAAACATTTCGCTTGGAAGAATTGTCAAGGAGGATTCTCATTACATTACATCATAGATTTTGTGAGAATGCGCTAAAATGTGCACAGTTAAAAAGTATACCTTGGCCTCCAATTAAGTGATAGTATCTTTGTCAATATGACGGCGCAATGTTAGCCCGCGTGGTGTCATTATAGCGTTGTATCGCCGTTTGCGGAAAAGAATCACGTTCAATTGATCGTCGTTCCCTAATTGTCGTTCAAGTACGATATCCGAGGCGCACTGTCTCTTCACGTTTGTGCATATTTTATTGTTGAATTTTTAAGATAAATAAAAAAGGGCGTGATATTGCTATCAAGAGATCACTTCCGCATTTCGCGTACGCAACAACTAGATAAGAGAATCGCGCGACGCCACGATACGACTCATCTAGGCGTCGATTGTAAACTGGAGTCGAGACGCCCCATGACCAACCAACGAACTGCCCGCCAAGCCGAATATAGACGAACGCGACCGAAGCGGCACGTCGCACACAAATCGACGCGCACCGTGCGATTTTATTCATCATATTTATTGTTCATATTTTGGAATGAGCTTCTTGCGTTGTAGTTGGCATCGCGAAAAAGAGGTAACGATACTGGATCAATTTCAAAAGAACATTGCTACATTTTGAATTTGATTCAATAGTCTTTGTTTTGCGATAGAATAGAGTAAAATACAGTAGAGTAGGATAAAGTAGGAGAGAGAGGAGAGAGAGAGAGAGAGGGAGAGAGGGAGAGAGAGGGAGAGAGAGGGAGAGAGAGAGAGAGAGAGAGAGAGAGA